AAGTACACTTGGATGATAATGAAAATAACAATTTATGTAACGCCAACAATTCAACTCAGGGAGCAGCTCTTGGGCGCTTTATATAAGTACAACTAATATAAAATTACAACAATCACAACACATTAATCCATAAAAAAAGACATAAACATTTAGTACACATGGTAAAAGTCTGACACAAACACAGCTAGAACTGTATTCAATCAGTTGTATATTTGATTAAAAAGTTTGGTTTTGAGATACTTTTTAAAACCTTTAATAGAATTTGCGCTTTTGGTTTTGTATGGACTGTGAAAGATCTAAACTGGTTTTCAGCAGGCCTATTTGATATCTTATTAATATTGAGATAAATCATAACAAAACGAGCTCATGTATAATCTGTTGTGTCAAGATCGTGTTGACAAACTTTCTACTAAATTTCAATGACCTGACAATTTGACACAAGATTCTATAGAAATATCTGGTCGGTCATTTGATATGTTTACATGTGATTTTGTGGGATCTGATTTAGATAAATACACAGAATGACTTTGAATATCTTGTAATGTAAACTGTTGTTGATGTTTGTGGCTCAGACTGTGTCTCAAGACAATGAATGGGTTGTTTTATTCTTAACATAGAATTGATAGGTCATTATTCATTATAAAGCTTGCACTATTTTCTAACTGAATCTTCTTAAAGATATAATAATGTTTAAGGATATTTTTCCAGGGGGAAATCTCAAAATCTGATTTTCACAGATATTTTGTTTAAAGATACATTATGGGAGTTAAGATAACAAGTTGGCAGTTCTCACTATAATAATTAAAATCTAGATAATGTAAAGGCAATTTGCTGAAAATTTCAGTCAAATTGATCCACTATGAACCGAGAATTGAGCGATTGAAATTTCCGCCTAGCCTTGATCATCATAACTAAAGTCTGTACGATAAAAAACATACAGTAGTCTCGATCATCCATTTCATGATTAAATTGTGAATGGAAGTTGAGCAGCAAATGGGATCATAATCCAGTAAATATTGCAGGTTAGCGATGCCATCAAGAGTTGATTATGGCCTGGATAAGTTAATTAAAATCTAATTAATAATATAGATAACATTTCAGACCTAAAGAAAAGACCTGCAATTGTTTAAATTATCAATTAGAATTAAAACACACCATGAAAATTATTAACATTTTGTTATTTTGTTGTTTTATTAAATGAATGACTCTCGCAGTCATTACAACTGATTACTTGAATTAGCTTGATAACGTTGAGAGAATACTCTTCGAAACGTTCGTGTGGTTTCCCCCTTGTCAGTGATGCAGGACGGAGGGTCTGACAAGGACAGCTGACTAGTCATTCGGATGGGATGAAAAACCGAGGTCCCGTGTACACATTGGCGTGCACTAAAAGATCCCTTAGCAGTTGGAATTCGATATAAGAGTAGGCCATAGCGCCGCCGCCCGGGCAAAATTTCCCTCATAGCACACTGTTTGGTGTATGCCCATCTTCATTAGCCAAGTTTAGGAGCAGAACAGTAGGACGTTAAACCCCATTTCATTTCATTTCATTTCGAAACGTTGGCCAAATAAGTAGCTGTTTTTCCATAAGTATGTGTTATAGTTTATTGCCCTATCCAGTTACTAAATGCATCTTAAAGATTATGATTAATTGTTGATAACAAATGACACAGAGATTGTCCCTGTAACTTCCAAAACATGTCCATGGTTGATGACTGGTCTTGCTTTTTTATTGTTTTTTTTTCTTCATAATAATGAATGATCATTGAAATGAGAGAGAGAAAGAGAGAGAGAGAAATGGGATTTAATATCAACTCGACACAAATTAGGACATTTTGGAACTAACATGGTTCCATTTTATTTCAATAATTTGCTTGATCATAGGGGTCTTTATAGTAGGAGGAAACCGGAGGACCCAGATAAAATCCACGAGGTTGGACAGACGCACCTACTCCTTGTCACATACAACCGGGGAATCAAAACCATGCCATTGACTAAATGACAGACCTTATGATACAACGCGCATGTGCTAACCATTCAGACATCCAACCCCCCATTATTTAAATGATGTCGACTGATTATAATAAAACTTTTATCTAAGATGTGTGATACCTAAAATTGATCCTTTTTGCTCTGACAAAGGCTACAACTGATTGTTTTATGTTAAATTAAAATGGTTTAAATTGTGATTATTTGAGTCGACAGGAAGCCATTATTTGATCTTATCAGGGAGCTGTTTCAATTCTACTATTGTAAAGGAGGGACAGGGATGGTAATTTGCGATCTGAATCTTACAGATCTATTTAAAGTGAAACAGAGTGTTTTCAATGTCCATTATTAAATCTGCTAGGTGTCAGTCAGCCATGCAATTGATGGATATTTTCCCATTGTTGCATTGTCAGTGTAATTTATGCAGAAGCCGTAAACAATGTGTGTATTGTATTATTAATGATGTAACATTTTCTATGCCCGTATTTTTATTGATGCTTTCTATAAAGAAACTGAATCCCAGGTTGTACGTGACAAGGAGTTGGGTCGCCTGTCAAACCTTGGGGACAGCGAATTATTGAAATAAAATTGAACCATGTGTTAGTCCCGAAATGACATAGATTGTGTCGCGTGGACGTTAAACTCTCTCTCACTCTCTCTCTCTCTCTCTCTCTCTCTCTATAAACCTGGTTCAAATATGAATAGAGTGACCAGTTTGAGGTCAGTGAACTTGAACAAGAGAAATGGTAACCCTAGTTTGTTTTGTGGTTGTCTGGTCATGTTTAACAACACAACACCACTGTGTCATGATCACAACAAATATTGTCCAGTATTTACACAGATGATTATTATAGTCAACAACAGGCCTCAGGTCACGTTTATAAATTATTAACATTGTTTCCCCTTGTCAGTGGTGCAGGATGGAGGGCCTGACAAGGACAGCTTTCTAGTCGTTTAGATGGCACTGAAAAAACAAGGTCTTGTGTATACATTGGCATGCACATAAAAGATCCCTTGGCAGTTGGAATTTGATATAAGAGTAGGATGCAGTGCCGCTGCCCGGGCAAAATTTCCCTCATAGCGCACTGTATGGCGTATGCCCGTCTTCATTAGCCCAGTAGGAGCAGAACAGTAGGACGTTAAATCTCATTTTATTTCATATAAATTATTAATAGAAGCACAGTGTCTGATTTGGGGGGTTAGCACATGCGCGCTGTATCATACATACGGTCTGTCATCGAGTCAACTGGTTTCGATTCCCCGGTTGTACGTGAAAAGGAGTAGGGTCGCCTGTCCAACCTTGTAAATTTTCTCCGGGTCTACCGGTTTCCTCCCACTGCTAAGGACCCCTACGCGCAAGCGAATTATTGAAATAAAAAGATTAAACTATTTGTTAGTCCCGAAATGACCTAGTGGACATTAACCTCCCACCCCACCTCTCTCTCTCTCTCTCTCTCTCTCTCAGTGTCTGATTTAGATGAAGAGGGACCCTGGACTATTCCCCTTAGTACGCGGCCCCACCCAATCCCCCACCCTCTCGACTAGATGAAGGTGTGGTTTAAACACATTTGAGCAAATCCGATGATGGTGACGGATATTTAGGACTAGAGTGCATGTAAGAAAAGTTTATGACAGTGTCTAGGGTTAGGGTTAGGATTGGGGCTAGGTCCAGATTAGGTTAGGGTTAGGATTGGGGCTAGGTCCAGATTAGGTTAGGGTTAGGATTGGGATTAGCTCTAGCCCTATTTACAATGTACATCTTGAGACCTATGACGAAAAATTGAGCTGGCCTTATCATTTAGCACTAACCCTACAGAGAAGCAGAAAATTTAACCATATATTAGTTTTTGTTGAGTGAACGTTAAACCCCATTTGTCTTTCCAAGTCTTGTATTGTTTGACTATGATTTCAAATTAAACTTTTAATTTGAATATTTACTTGAAGTTTTTGTATAAAAATAATGGAGTAATTGTGTTTAATTTACCAAAGAGTATCTTTACGATTAAAAACATTATTTTAATGAGATTAAATGTTTATGGAGAAAGGAGAGAAATCTAAATCGATGATAAATCAGCAGAAATTTGAACAATTTGAATTATTTATTGTTGTGATATCTGTCCGTCATATTCTCTCCAAATCTATTTTAAACAAACATTATTGTCATGTGTAACATCACATTCATTAAATATTACACATTGTTTATAAACAGTCCCCAAAGTTCAATAATACCAAGCCTTATATGGTATTAACATCAAATTTGAGCGTAAAACTTGGTGATTACCTTTAAGCATATTAATATGATTGTCCATGGAGTTAGTTGATAAAATGAATAGGATATTTTCTTCTGTGAATGATTTGTTTATCTTTAAAAGAATGAAGAAGTGAGTTGACAACAGAAGTGAGACATGACTAACAGAGTTATTTCCCCTTCATTCTTTTGTAACTGGTGATGAGGATTGTTAACTCCTAGTGAGTTAAGCCCTGTAGGGCTATAGTTATTGTTTTAATTATATCTTATATAAGATATATTATATAAGATTTTGATCAAGAGCTGGACGATCTTTCTAAAATAGTTCAAATATAGATAATGAGAAATGAATATATTGAAAATATCATTTAAATTTATTCTGAGCAATACAGGAAAATGAAAAAAATAGAAATAGTCTGTACATTCCCTTGTTTTTATTCATTCTATAAAAACGTAATGCACAGACTTTCTATTTTTCTCGTTTTCTCTTGTCTAGTGACAGTCAATTATTTTTTGGAATTGTCAGATATCCTTCCTCAGTCTCATATACACACATCGATGTATTACAGTAGTTGTGCCCTTTGCTATTAAGAAAGTTCTTGGATTTTAAAAGTTTCTGTGTTTCCAAGCAAGACAATTTGACTTGGTATTTGGTATACATGGGCGAGCTTTTTGATAATGGAATTTCCTTAGTTTTTGTTTCTTTTTTAAAATGGATTGAATTTATTTCCTTTGTCTGATTTTCATTGTTGTCTACTTTCAGGTAAATAATTCCCAACAACAGAATGGTTTGAATAGTGACCCATTTAACGGCCACCAGTTTGAAGATCCCCCTTCTAACACCAATCCCCTGTACGAGATGTCGAGCTCCGACAATCCAAACCCGCTATTCGATTATCAAAACACGGAAAGTGAATTTGCAAATGAAATCCTCAATGCTGTAGAGTCCAATCAAAACACTCAACAAAAATCAGCCAATCCTTTGTACGATTTTATTGACAACGAGGAAATCGATGATGAGGCTTTATTTCCCCCGTCGCCTACTAAATCGCAATCACCAGAAAAATCACCATCCAAATCGCCACCTCCGTCAAATCCTCTCTACGAGTACGCAGAAAACCAAGGAGATGACTCGTCAACGCAGCGTTACGAGGCTGAAGAGGAGGAGTCATATATCACAGAAACGTCAAATATAACAGAAGATGGTGGACATCAGGTGAACCGTGAAGAAACAAGTTATGATTATTCAAATAATGGAGAAGCTTTAGACGATTCCTATCAACAGGAACAATATCAAGAAGAAGTTCCAGAAAACCGATATTCTGGTGGAAACTGGGAAGGTGGAGAAACTGTCACCACAGAAACATTTTCGTCATCAAGCACAGGACCAGAAGGGGAGGTAATAACAGAAACTGTTGTTACTCGAACAAGTAAATCACGAAGTAGAAGTCCTGAAATCGTGGAAACTAGGAGTAGTGAGCTGGTTTATACGCCAGAAGACGAAGCTGAAGATGAACACATTTATACACAAGAAGACAATGTGGACGATGAACCAGATGAGTTCGAACAGCAGCAGACAACTACTGCGTACGAAGAATACGAGGAACCAGAAGAAGAGGTGAGTAACTTACAGACATTTAAAAAATTTGTTTAACGTCTGCTTTAGTTTGCTTTAGCGAATATTTAAAATATTTAGAAGCCTGTTTTAGTTCGTTTTTAGGCCTTGTTGCTATCTTGCTCGTTAATCTGTGATTGTCTTTACAAAATGAATATTTAAACATTCTCATGAATAACATGGTTCTGTTTTAATGTATTCTGTGTATTCATATAGTTCTAACGTTATTACACTGATGATGACGTCAGAACTAACGTGTATATTAAAACACTGATTGGTATATATCATAAGTATATTGAAACACTGATTGATATATATCAAATGTGTATTAAAACACTAATTGGTATATATCAAACATATATTAAAACACTGATTGGTATATATATTTGTAAGAATTATCTACTCTGTGTTTTAATATAGTTTTAATGTCAATATGATGGTATAAATGTCAGTGGATTGGTATATTATGTGTGGTTTAATGGTCGAGAGCGAAACATTGCGTAATATATTGAAACACTACGAGGGACATCAGTCCCTGAGTGTTGTTTCAATTAAGCAATGTCTTAAGCTTGAGACCATTAAATAGCTAAAAATACAGACATTATCCAGCACGTGCATTGCAATGAAATACATCACACAGATCCAAAATTGCAACTAGTATAAATAATGTTCGCTTGGCACATTGCCTTGGCCATTATTTGAAATAATGGTACGCCAATATCAAAGGATGATGTCACCTCTGTATTTCAAATCTACATAAGAAATATATACTCCATGTTTTAATACATGTTCCTGAAGCAACGACTGCAAGTTTTACAACATCTGGCCGTTGCTTGTTTACTTCACAATAACCGAACTTATAGCTATGTTATCTACAGACACGTGAGCAGTAGCGTCCAATCAGAGGTTGTGACTTCACAACCTCCAAGGAAACCTTGAAATTGAATGAACCTTGAACTTTGCAACTTGATTATCACAGGTAGGCATTTTAGCTTGAAAGCGCAAGACATGGAATTCGCGACGATCAAGGAATCTGATAGGCTCAAAAGTTGGGCTTGTACCCAATCGAAATTAGTGCCACAATATGCAGGGTATTACGTGAAGGCCTTGATAAGATCTACATAGTTAAAGCGAGATCAAGCCTTCTATTGAAGATGGTTTTAATGTAGTTCTATTGTCATTACGATGATGATGATTCCAGAAGTATGTTAAACCCCCAATTACGATGATTACAGAAATAATGTGGATTGATATATTATATATCTGTAAGAATTATATACTCCATGTTTTAATATAGTTCTAACGTGCATTACAATGATGACGACATCAGAAATATTTTAAATCCTGTGATAAACATATATCTCTCCGTAAGAATTATTAGCCTATAGTTTATATCAACATCGGACATATTTTCTCGCAAACTATTTTACAGTTCATCAAGTTAAAATTTTTCATCATTTATGGTCGCCTTTATGGAGAGAATGGTGGATAGGCCTTAAAAATGTTAACTTTTTTCGTATTTTTTGATAATAAAATGCCAATAGATTGGTTTCCAATTATTAGGTCTACCCTATAAAACAATTTATTTTTTGATCTGTTTTCAAACTAGTCTTTGTATTTGCTTAAACTTACTTTTTTTTTATAAAGTTAAATGAAAATCATTCTGGTCACGGCTAAACTGTCATGATGTGTAAATGACTGCACACTGAAACAACATGGTTATTCACATTCCATTTCTCCACTGTTGACTTTAAAATAAAACCACTTCAGAATTACGCTTTGTCGGCGACAATGACACCCTTCAATCGGGGGGCGTTCTTCCACCGATCTTTCCCAAAAATCTCACTGTGTTGATATTTCGTTTGAGATCAATAAAGCTGACCCCGGAACACGAACCAGTAAGTTATGTGTTCTGTGTGTTTTACTGACTTTAAAATAAGAGAAAATATGTTTCTGTGTTTTATCAGTGCATGCTAATACTTCCGAGACAAGAAAAAAAACGTTGGATTATGATACATCTTGTAAGTAGTCAGTATATCAGTAATAATTCATTTAAATAAAATTCATTTCAGATTCTAATGATTTTATTGAGTTTAAAGATACATTATGTAGAAGTTAAATCTGCCTATTGCAAGTCCTTCTTTTGGCCTCAAATTTAATGTAAATTATATATTAGACAAGCACATAATCAACTCTCTAGACTGTCAGATGGTCGTGATTTTCAATGGATTGAAAAAGAATCACCATTTGATTAATTTAAAAATGGATAATTGAGACTTTGTTTATTATTGTAACAGTGGTACTTGACAATCAAGACTATATTGTGAACACGTCAAAACAAGTAATTTGACTGAAATTTTCAATATATTTCTTTTTTATTATCTATTTTTGAACTATTATTACAAGATCGTCCGACTCTTTATCTGAATCTTACATAATGCATCTTTAATTAGTATAGAATTTTCCACTATCTCTTAACTATTTTAGAACTATTATAGTGAGAATGGCCAGCTCTTTATCTGAATCTTACATAATGCATCTTTAACCATACTTCTAATCTGGCTGCAGTCTTGTTTTAGAATTCACTGCTTTTTGTTGTCTTTAACAATATTTTAATCCAGTCACATTCTTGTTTCAGAATTCAATAAACAATATTGCTAATCCATTATGTACTATCTTTGCCTACTTGTATGTTTAATAAGGAACCAAGCCATTTTATTTAAGAGTCTGATAGACTAATAATCCTAAATGATATAACTGGGGTTCTATTTAGCCATGGCAAAAGGTATGACCATATTAGGAATACTGGTAGCCTTCATCACATGTTAGTAACCATTGCATGTATTTTAAAATTATCAGTGTTAAACTATGTAAACATGTTCTGTTACTTTATCAACTTGTGTTGATCTGTTTAATTTGTTATACACTTAGTGTGTTCTGATTCATGTATATACCAATATATACCATTACACACAGATGTGTATTAGTTAATATACCAATACACACTATGTATATATACCCATGTATACCATTACACATAGGTGTATATTGGTTAATATACCAATACACACCATGTATATACCAATATATATCATTACACAAGTGTATATTAGTTAATATACCAATACACACTATGTAAATACCAATATATACCATTACACGTAGGTGTTTTTTATACCATTACATACAGTTGTGTAATAGACAATATACCAATATACACCATTACATAGAGGTGTGTATTAGTTAATATACCATTACACACAGGACCATATATATCCAATATATACCATTACATGCAGGTGTGTATTAGACAATATACTTAAGAACATGCATATACATGTAATACACCTCTTATCATATCCAATATAGACCATGTATATACCAGTATATCAAGGTGTTATAGTAGAGATAGAATTACACAATATACTGCAGCCAGGTAATTAATACACCTGACCACTGTAATTAGTGTAATTTGATCACAGTCACCTGATGAGATTAAACACCTTGATGTGTTAACAAGGTATACAACATAATTCTCTGAAACTTATACATTCACACCAGAACTAAAATATGCCACAAGTTCGTCCATCAAATGTAATTAAGATATAGTCATTAGGATATTGATATATCCCAACCCAATGTAACTGTATCTCACCCTGGGCTAGATTAGGGGCATGGACTTTATGGAATGAAGCGCCCAAGCCAGGATCCACTACCAGCTTAAAGACCTCAAAATATTTCTTGGGCACAATGTGAATAACAGATTTAAACATGGACCTTATATTATAAGGTCCATGATTTAAACAAATAGGGAAATAAACCAAACCCAGTTAAATCAAGCCATTTATTTTTAATTATAAATGTCTACTTACACTAATAACAGATGAGTAGTAATTATTAATAGCCTCCAGTAGGGTATTGATGTTAATTAGGTATTAATATATCTTAAGGCTGTTCATTAATCATCCAGTATTTCATTCAGTTCATTTCATCAAGTTCAAATAGAATAGACAGAGAAATGGGGTTTAACATCCATTCAACACAAACTAGGTAATTTCGGGACCCCATTTCCCTCTCTCGTGATATGTAATAGTTAAATCCACTTTTGTAACAAGGGGGGTTGGGTGGCTGAATGGTTAGCACGTGCGCGCTGTACCATAAAGTCTGTCATTGAGTCAACTGGCGTGGTTTCGAATCCCCGGTTGTACGTGGCAAGGAGTAGGGTCCTCCGGTTTCCTCCCACTGCTAAAGACCCCTACGCGCAAGCGAATTATTGAAATAAAATTAAACCATGTGTTAGTCACGAAATGACCTAGTTTGTATCGAGTGGACGTTAAACCCCATTTCTCTCTCTCTCTCTTTTGTAACAATTTGAACGAGTCTTGATTGTGAATCCTTAATTATTGGTGTGTTCAATAATTAATTATTACTTTATATAAAACTTTGCTTTATTTACTTGCTTTAAATTGATGTAAATATTTTGTATATAATATTAATAAGTATTAGAAATCAGTTTGATGCTACACATATAAATATCATCAGCTTATTATATGATTATACTAAAATTTGTATATATGATTTTTCATTTGAAAATAAAACTATATTTAAAAAAAAAAAAAAAGAAAAAAGAAAAATTAATTATTACTACTCGTATCATTTAAAATCACCCAAATTTGCCTTACTTTATTTCTATTTTTAAAAGACATAAAAAAAACATTTCAGCTTTTATTGAATGATGATCTATCAGATAAATATTGGAGTAACGTTACTATTCACCTATTATCGGCAAAATTTCAACAGCTTCAATTTCAAATAGAAAGAAAATCTCAAAACATTTCCGCTTTTTACCGAATTCTAATTTGAATAAATATACATGTATTGTAACTTAAAATGCTCCTAATACGCAAAAATGTTACTATTATATGTGCAAAATTTACACACCCTTCATTTCAAATCTCGAAACGTTTCAACTGTCATTGATTGTTAATTTAAATAAATAACGG